GGCAAAACTATATTTCTACATGGGTTTATTGTAGTTATTTTACTGACAATTAAAAATATAATTTTCTATAAACATTCATATGCCATTTTTTGTCTGAACATAAAACATCAGTCAATTAGCTTAATTGTAATCTTAATTGTCAGTGCACTTGAAAACACAGTAGTGCAAAAGCTGTATCAAGATAATTTTCAACTTTAAAAACATATTTAAATACTATATCCTTCTAACTAGACACCCCTTCACATTATTGCTTTTTCAATGCAAACAATAAAGTAGGTTGACAATTAAAGATAGGTGAAAGCAAGTGATTAAACCATATTTTTTTTCATTATTGGTATACTTTTGTAAACATGCCTAACTTTTCCTCAGGATTATCAATGGAAAATCATGATGTTTAGGGTGATGATTCTTAAAACAGTCCTTAAAGAACAACAAAGATCCAGACTCTGGATTACCTAGTTCTACGGTAGTATAATTATTGATAAAACCAGGATCAGTGGTGGTTTTTGAGGACTCGCCGAATAAACACTGATTTCCACCTAATAAATAAAAAGATTAATCTTACATTTCAGAGCATATTCCTGTGAGAATTTTATTGTTCAGTCAAATCTAAATACATACTGTTGCAACTATGAAACTAAGTCATGTGTGAAGTTTGTATATATAGCAAATAATTGTTGCTTGATTAAATATGTTTCCATGTCTTCAAAAGGTTCTTATGGCAACATATATGAAAGTACCAACTTACAACAAGGACAACACTCTCTTTCCCAAGGCATGTTGGGACAGAATTGGTCATCCTGCAAGAACTCACCAACAGAATTAGACAACGGGAAGTCAAATATACGAAGGACACATACTTCTACTGCTGTTCCTGAATTTCGGTCTCACATTCCAGTCTCACGTTTTTGCAGCACTCCTTCAACGGAGATGGGCAAACGAAGCCTGGATCCCTTCACAAAATGTGAGTCCCACTTCACCTCAGGCAGCGTAGAAGATATTACTAAGGAAGAGACCTTGTTGCCCTGTGTTCATAGTAAACTTGCACCTTTAAGACATTCAGATATTAGTAAAAATGATGCAAGGCTTCCACCACCCTACCCTGGCTCAACAAAGCAAGGTGCAACTCAAACTCATCGATCACCACCAGTATTTTCAGCGGATCAGGCCCTATGGAAGTTGCCACGGCCAGAGACAGCTGATGGAACATCAGTGGTAAGGACTGCATCCACTGAACAGTCTGTTCAAAATAGACAGACTTCATTGAAAAGTCCAAGCAACAGTACTAACAACTTAGCTGAACAAGACTGGCAGGAATGGCAAAGGGAAAGGTGTCAAATTTGGAAGCTCTTATCTGCAGATAATCCTGACACTCTTCCAGAAACATTAGTATGATGGATAAGACATAGACAGAATGGGCACATGCTCTCAAGTGTGCTTATGGACTAAAAGTACAGAAGAAAAATACAAACTTGCTGAAAATTGTGAACTTTTTTTTTATTTTTTTACACATTTTTAAATTTGATTTTAAAAATTGCAATGGTTGTGGAACCTTTTTTCTTGCAGTCATGCGCATATATCACTGCCAATTAACTATTTTGTCTATATAACTTCAGTCTGAGACATTGCCATTAAATATTCAGTCATGTATGATAAAGAAAAAAGCCAAATATACAGTTCATTGACTGCTTCATGGAATCTGTACACATACATTCCCTATGATTGTATCTTCTACAGTGGTTTAGTATATGAAACTTTAATGGCACATACAGAAAATAAATGAAACAATCAAAATAGCTTTTTATCTTCACTGCACTTTGCCATGATAATCGTTAAAATGTTGTAAAATATGCACAAGCTGGTTTATGTGCCTTGAAACATTTTTATTTTTGGAAAGGAGTTTGAAAAATCCTTTTTACGTTGCTTTGCAAAGACAAAAAAAAAATGCTAAACAAAATGTGGTTAACATTGCATTCTGAAAAAATGTATTCTTTTGTAAATCTTTGTCTGGGAGAAAGGATACATATTTTATGTACTTTTAATTGTTGTGATTACAGAAGAATTTATTGAGCATAACAGGTTTTAGTTCAAGCTGAGCTAGCTACATCTAAACAGCTTGGACAGTCCCTTTACTCTATTTAGTTATTTCAGTGCTGCATTTATCAACTTGAAATGCATGTATGGTCTATGCAACACTGGTAATTAAGGAAAATGAGACATAAGTGAAGCCGGTCAGACAACTAGAGCATGGTATTAGAATGGCTTGATGAACATGACACCCAGTTTCATCTATACTTGCCCAAGTTGCCTGTGTGCTGCCAATTCTACCATTGTCTTCCCCCACTGCTTATTTTAATATTTAATTCTCTTGAAGGGGCATAATGGTAGAATTTACCCGTAAGGTTATCTTGGATGTAGAGCCAGCCCTAGTTAAGGTATTGTATACATTATATGTATTTAACATTTATAAAATTACACATGTATATTTATCCCCTATTGTTTCCAATCAATAAACTGGGACTACAGTAAAATATAAGGTAAAATATACATTTCATTCTAAATTTGTATCTCCTATAAAAAAAAAAAAAAATAAAAAAAAAAAAAAAGATCTTATGTTGAAATATATACAATAATTGGAATATAACTACATTTGAAAAATTTTGGTATAAATGTCGCACATATTCAAGTAAAAAAAATACCAAAATACAGTTTAAAATAAAACATTCAAACTGTGCCAAAGATTTGAGAAAGTCGATTGTATTGGAAGTATGTGAGATGGTCAACTTATTAGTTGAAACATGCGTGTTTTTGATAAATGTAATTGTAGGTCAGTATTTTCAAGAATGTGGCTGGGTGTTTTTTATACATGTTAGTGTTACCAACAGGACAATTGCAATATTGTAGTGGTTTTATATCTGTAAATGTATATTTTATCTGGATATTTAATAAAAAGAGGAGCATACTTATTTTATTGCATTGCTTAGATGTGGTAGGTACCACGATTAAAGAAGTTTGGTGCATTATACCCAATGTATCTTTCGTGGTTAGGCTATTGTATAAGGCGTTTGCATGCAGAATATTTAAATTCTGCACAAAATGCTAACAAATGTAAAATATAAATATGTTTATAATGTCTTGCTTATGTACATATATAAATACATATGTTTCATATAGTACAGTGTTATGCAGGTACTTAATCATAGGTTACACTAATTATTGAAAAACTGACCAATTTCAATAGAAAGGGATTCTGATTTGGCACATTTGTGAACTGTCTATGTGGTTATTTTATGATGATGTGACCCAGGACATCTAAATGTTACAATTTCAAATCTAATTATTCCTTTTTTTTTTTTTTTAAATCAGGGATTTAAAACCAAATATTGAGACCTAAGAGCACTGAGTTACTATAAGAAAATGATAAAGATGATTGTACTGTATATTGACTAACATTCCGTGATAACAAGTGTTAATAGCAAAATCTTCTTGCAAGAACCTTACAGTTCACCACAGGTGCATCAAGTATGTTCTAAGAATCTTAGGAAGGGTATGTTCAAAATTATAACATTGCTAAGATGGGGACTGTAAACCAGTAAGGAACAGTATCTGGGATTTTACGGCCTGTAAAATATAAATAATATAATGCAATGCCCACGTTCTTTTTGTCAGGGGAAGGGGCTGTCCAAATATTCAACAGAGCTGCTAAATTGATCCTCTTTTCTCTCCTATTGCATTCATCCTCCATATTGCATTACAGAACCTTGAGAGAAATGATATTCACTAAACAGTGGGTTGTGTTAAGGTGACAGGTTGGAAATTATAGGTAAACATTGCTGTACTAGAGATTTGTTCAACCCACAAATGTTGTGAATTTCTTTCTTGAGAGATCTCAGTTTACAAGGAAATCTTGCAGTCTGAGATCTGGCCCTCAAAGGCACAACACAGCATGCGAAGCAAAAAATATGTCACAGAATAACATTCTACAGCAGAATAGTTCATGTTAGATAACATTTATTGTGCCCCTGTATCTGTAACTACTAACATTTGTTACTGTTGAGAGTCATATATAAAAATGGTTTAAAGGGCCACTATAGTACCCTGAGGGTGCCCCCACCCTCATGGTCCCCCTCCCGCAGCACAGAAGAGGTTAAAACCCCTTCAGCTACTCGCCCTTTTCCCCTGCAGGGCTCCCTTACCTCGCCTCCCCCGCCGACGTCAGCATCCTTGTCTGACGTCACCAGAGTCGAATGAGCATGTGCGGGACTGCCGCGTGCGCATTCAAAGTGTCCGTAGGAAAGCATTTTTCATTGCTTTCCTATGGACGCTCTGCGTGATTGAGGCCGGAAGACAGCCACTAGAGGCTGGCTTAACCCCAGATGTAAACATAGCAGCTTCTCAGAAACTGCTATGTTTACATCAGGCAGGGTTAACCCTAGAGGGACCTGACACCCAGACCACTTCATTGACCTGAAGTGGTCTGGGTGACTATAGTGTCCTTTTAATGAAAAAAGTTGTATGCTTGCAACATAAATACCAAATAGATTCAAATGTTTCCCATGTTTTAACTACCTTTTATTCTTATACTACCCTGCCATCCATGTGAAACAGTTGCAACTCTGCTACATTTTGTTCCAATGTATAAAGCCAGTAAGTTTTACAGCTATATCCAAATTATACAGGGATAACAGTAAACATATGACCAAATGAATTATGATTTGTTTTAGACGCTTCATTCTTTATACATAATTCCCACAGTATGCAAGAGCAGAATGACTATCCTTGGTTTATGTGCCAGTGAACTATCCATTCCAATAAACCCTGTTGGCTACATTATGTTGCACATTACACGTTTTCTCTGATTATTTATGAACATTTTATGAAGACTCTGAAATGTTAGTGCTAGAAGTAAAAAGAGTCTGCGAGTGCTGGATCTTGTATGTTTTATATATATATATATATATATATATATATATATATATATATATATATATATACACACACACACACACACACACACACAGCTAGAAAGATAGTAATAAATATCACAGCAAAACTAAATATATCCAGATACGGTGAAATGTAGCCACACATCCATCATAATGTATGGGCTCATAGCCTACAAGGTTTATTGAGTTCTATAATTTTATTAATAGGATCTGGCTTTCCTACATATGTATTTAAAAGATACATACATCATCTTATAAAAAGGATTGGAGCAAACCATTATATTATTTCCAACCAATAAACTGGAACTACAGTATCCAAATCAAAACATCCCACACTTATAATGTAGTTTTATACCATATTTATGCAATCCTATCTCTGTCACCAGAAGTGCTGTCACGTATACAAACTGTCAAGTTCTTAAAGGCACTCTTCTATTTTCACAGTTTGCATGCACAAGACTGTGTAATTAGAAACATGAATGCTTTAGTACACACCATCAAAAATACTATTTGGGTTATTCACTAAACTGCAACTTGTGGAGAATTGCCAAGGGAATATAAATCGTACACTTACATATCCTTGCATGGATCATTTTTCCAGTTGAGCTATGTTGGGCTAAAATTAGCCATTCCCTTGGTATTTTCCATAATGTTAGTTGGAATGAATAACACTACACTTAGAAAGCAGTTATCTTAGTTATGGAGGTATAATAAAACAGAAAAATAGGATATTTGTTAGAAGTGTTAACTAAAAGGGATATAGCACTAGAGTAACATGTTCTATAAATAGTTTCAGTTGAATAAAATTATGGTACACACACTACAGTGAGACACAAGTGTCAGTA